CCCTAAACCCTAAACCCAACCACCCCTAAGCCTCGATTTTGATTCCGTACGTCTTACGGTCTGTCTACGACGTTCCACGTGTTGTTTGTGCCAAGGTTGCGAGGGTTGAGCACCAGGTTGGCGTGGCACGTCGGGTTTGACTCCTGAGTTCACAGCCAATTAGGGTTTTAGGGTTTAGGGTTTAGGGTTCAGTTTTGCTTTGCACATTCGAAACGGATGACGCGAGATTTGGGGCGCACGGCGGCTCGCCCCCATGTCATGTTGGGCTTCTAACTGCGAACCCTCAACCTCTAAGCCCCAATCTCTTCCTAAGCCCAAGACCAAGCCTGAACCTAAAGCCCTGCACCGCTCGTACCTGAACCCTGACCCGGAAGCCTAACTAAACTCCAGAAGCATTAAGAAGAATATATATATATATATATATATATGTATGTATGTTTTTATATATATATAATTATATTATTATATATATATATATATGTATACATAAACATATACACATATATATATATATGAGTGTGCGCGCTTATGTGTATATGTGCATGTCTGTATGTATGCATAGTTATGCATGCATGCATCCATGCATGCATGCATGCAGGTATGTATACAAATAGGTGAACATATACAGATATGCATGAACATATCTGTGTGTATATATATATATATGTAATGGAAGCTGTGCTGGCTGTGTTAGCCGCGACAGTGGCGGTGGCCACGGTGACATGGACACAGGCTTGGTATCATCGACGTCGTCATGACAGGCAGCTCTAGCATCACCATCACAGAAACCATCACCGTGACCATCAACCACGAACCCGATGATTGCCAAGGTGGTTCTTCTGGCAGAACCCTAGTTCACGGTGGCCGAGTCTGCTTCCAATCTCGCATCGACAAGGCCTAGAGATGCTCCCAAAAACTCGGAGCCGTAATTGTCAGAATAGGTTTTGGAGGGGGGGGGGTAGGGTTTAGGGTTTAGGGTTTAGGGTTTAGGGTTTAGGGTTTAGGGTTTAGGGTCACATTACTGCAAATTCCTTAGAGGGACCCAGAAAGGAATGTTCACGAATACTACAGCCTACGAGACCAGGCAAGCCTTGCTCTTCACGTTTCAGAATTCAGTCCCTGAAGGAAATCTCACCCCTAAGCTTTCTCCAAAACTGGAGAACTCCCAAAACCCTAAAACTCCCTCAAATCCCTCAAATTCCCCAACACACCCTCTCGGAAAAGAGCCCTCAGCCTGACTCCAAGATGGCCCCGTGTGGCGCCTCACGAGCAGCGCGTCGAAAATGGATGACACCTGCCGTCGAGGGTTCACGGGTTCAGGGGTTCAGGGCTTCGGGGTTTAGGGGCTTAGGGGTTTAGGGGATTTATAGAGACTTGCACAGCTTTGGGAGTTCCGGGTTTTTTGGTATTGGCGTTGAAGGTTTCGGGAATTAGAACTCAGGGTTTGCGTTTTGAGGGTGTGGGGTTTAGGAGTTTGTGGTTTAGGGCCGTTTAGGGTTTTCAACTGCGCTGAACCAGGGAAGAAACCTTAAACCAGAAAAAGTCCCCTTGATAAGGGACCCCTGCTTAAGGCTTGCTGGGCTAGTCCTCCTTGCTTGTATGTAAATTAAAGGTATAGTCCCTAAACCCTGTATCTAAACTAAAGGTATAGTCCCTAGAATTGCCTTTCTAAGAGGCTGCGGCTGTAAGGGCGATCACAAGGACTGCTCCTTAAACCATCGAAGCGGAAACAGGCGACTCTCAGTGAAGCCAGGTCCAAAAAGCCAAGGAACATTCCTTCAACGGTGAAAGAAAACTTTGGATTCTTTAATATTGGTATTGCAGGCTTTAATCTTCCGGATCCGAGGGGAAGTTGAGAGTGCTTTCTGGGCATGAAGGGCTGAGGGTTTAGGGTTGTCTGCACGCAAAAGCAACCCTGGCGACGAAGCTCGGACTTTTCATAAATCCAAACATTGCATCTCGCGGAATCTAGCGGAAGAAGTCTGCAGCGGCCTCCATATAGATTCACCGCAGGATCTGCGTCTTGGAACATGAGGTCACGAGGGGCTGTAAGCGTCGTGTAGTCCAGCTCGCCTGTAGTGGCCTTAGAACAGACACCCAGGCCCAACACCCCAAGAGCCCCGATAAAGCCATCTCTAACCAGTGGGAGGTTTGTGAGAATCTATATATATGCACTGAGACGCGGACCAGGCCCCCAACGGTCTCACCGCCAGCGCCTTCTAGACTGACCAGGATGTGCGCAGCGCCGGCCGGGAGGACGGCATCGGTGAGCGTGTAGGTCTGACAGAGCGGTTTAGGGTTTAGGGTATAGGGTTTAGGGTCTAGGGTCTAGGGTTTAGGGTTTAGGGTCTAGGGTCTAGGGTTTAGGGTTTAGGGTTTAGGGTCTAGGGTCGAGGGTTTCGGGTTTAGGGTTTAGGGT